ATTGAATGAATGAAGTACAGACTACCATCAAAGATATGATTGCTTTAAAATCCTTCATCAAGGAACACTTGCCGAATGAGTGCATAAGGCCTCTAAACTAATTTAGGCCAGATTGTCTTCCGATCAAAAATAATGCTGTACGCAATGTCCGAATTTCCCACATTTCTAATGCTATATTTAGAGAGCTGTTATCGAGGGTTTGGCTGAATATATATAAAAATCACAATTGGAATCGATTTTCTCAAAATGAAATGAGCTATCGGCCCTGGATGTTATTCAATTTCGTATACAGGCTCTGAAAAAAGTCATATTTTTTCTAACTGGGAGCGCTTTGGAATTATTGGCAATTTTCCGATAAGAACTTGGTCACCTTAGATCATTAATCATGAATTAATTATTTGCCGTAAAATATTCTCACAGCTTGATTAGTTGGCCACATTCTGGCCACACATTCTGTGGTATATTATGCTCGGGCTGTGTGATCGGAGATTTGACCCAAAATAACTAAGTTCAAATCCGATGGTGGCGCTGCTGACATGCAGTTGTTGTTGACAATTCTTTGACGAGAGATTGGCTACCCTAGGTCATTAAAGATCGATTAATCGTTGGCATGAATAATCTCACAGCTTTCTGAGTTGGCCACATTATGCCAAACTATGAATTTCACATAGTTTTTTCGTACAGTGTAGATTTAAGTTAGAGCTCGCATCACCATATCAGTGGCACACTTCGTAGTACTAATAATTGCATCGGACTTATTGTGGTGACACGTTAATGCTCAGTCATACGGTAACAGATATCAGTAGGTTGCAGGGCAGATGTGGTTTTCAAGGCAAACCAGGCATTTACCATTGGCATCTGAGTTTGCGTAATGGAATGCTAACGTTTTATAACGACTAAGCACTTATTAAATAAGTATAACTAGTTTAAAAAAATAATGCTACTATCTAAAATAAATACTGGCTTCGATAGTAATGGTAAATGGATGTTAGTTTCGTCAATCAATCCAAAATGCGATTTTTGCTAAGTCGCATCTGCTCTGCTTTTAACTACTTCTTACTCTTAAAACATGGAGTCACTTTGTCCTATTTAACGAAGACTATATTCATCCTATATGAACTTTTTTGTCAATTTGTTGTTGTTTTCACGTTATCTACACAACTTTAGTAAGCTTCTTTGGTTTTCCTAAACCCGGATTGCAATTTTTATGTTCAATGGAGCCCTGATTTGTGCGTAATATCGATTCGAATATAGATATTTAAATATCTGTATTTTAAAAGCCCAGATGTAGGTTATATTGCACAAATCCGCCAATGTCACACAAAATTACTGTACAAATGTAAGAAAAAATATTTGCATAAAAATGTGTTGAGGTCGATGCCTATGCAAATGTAAAATTAATAACGTATACACTTATAATTAAATATAGACATAAGCTTTAAGTGTTTATGGTCTCTATTTTGGTTGCAGACTCCTTTTGAAGTTTAGCAAAAGTCTCACTTTGTTTTCACAAATTGGTCGTGTTATCAAGATGAGCTCGTTGTATGTACACAGTCCGAAGTTCTCTGATAAAGTTATATTATTATTCCCAGCATTAGACCATGGACTTGATACCAGTGGAATTTTTAAGAAGCATCTTCTAAACATGATATAATTAAAGAGCGTTCTATAGTAAATGAAGGTAAACCTACCAGAATGAGTCAGCAAATTAAAGACCAATAACAGTCCGGGATCTGCTAGACTGGAGGAATTTGAACTACGTATTTATTAAGAAAATTCAGCCGACTATTTATATGGACTACTTCTTTTGTCTCAATTTAGACGATTTTAAAATCTATTAAAACTAAATTTTATACAAAATATTAGTGTAAAAATAAAATTCTCAGAAGAATTTTCAAATCAAAATTTTCAATTGTATCATCATTTTTTTGGGAGAATTATTCATGCAATGCTATTCAACACTTCAATTCATCAGTATTATTAAGTGTATTTGAATTAAAACCTCGATTAACTTCGTAATTAAATCTTAAACAAAATTAACAAACTATTTAATTAAGTATAATTTAAATACATAGCTACTTATTTTAACACTCAACAGTACTCATACTTTCTTATAACTTTAATTGCATGTCTTGTTTTTCTGAATCAGAAACCTACGTATATAAGCTAAGCAACTTCGAAACCCTGTAACTTAGGTCCCGTCAGTATAATGCAGACATTAAGGGATAAAGCTTATTTCCCTATATATGCGGATAAAAGATCATTTAACAGAATAAAAATTACAATTGTTGGCGCAGACCAAGTTGGGATGGCTACTGCCTTTAGCCTATTAATTAAGGTTTGCTAGTATTGTTGTGAATTGTAAGGGCATTCCAAATGAAGTGGCTATAATTGATCTTGATGTCGATCGGGTTGAAGCTGAAGTGCAAGACTTAGCTAGTGCAAGACAATTTCTTCCAAAATCAGACATTTACGGAGGATCAAGTATATATGCCCTTAAATGATTCTTAGATTTCAAGCTCTCTTCTAACTCCAATATTGTGATAATCTGCACTGGAATCTCAAGAAGTGAAAATGAAACAAATATTAACCATATACAGAGAAATGTTGACGCTTTTAAAAGTAAACTTGAGCTTTATTTAGCATTTATTTTTGCAGGGCTAGTGCCACATATTGTTGAAAATAGTCCTAAATGTATGATAATTGTTCTAACAAAGCCAGGTTAGTATACATTTACTCATTTCAGTGGATGTTATGGCATACGTTGCTTGGAGAATAAGTGGATTTCCAAAAAATCGTGTATTTGGCCTTGGCACTATGCTCGATTCGGCTAGATTTCGCATTGCTATAGGTCAAAAACTTGGGCTTAATGCGAACATGGTTCACGCCTATATATTTGGAGAGCAAGGAGAGAGAGCAGGTTTATATTTTTCATTTAATTATTTTACATAAAGTTCCTATTTGGAGTACCTTGGCAATTGCTGGAGCGAAACTGAGATCAATTTACCCAGAAATAGGCACAAATCTTGATAAGGAGGGATACGTCCAAATTCCATCTATGCTTGTGGAAACGTATGTTTCATTTTTATTATATTCTAGTGAAAAAAAAATTATTGCACATAAAGGCTCTAGTTCCTGGGCTTTGGGTCTCGCTGCAAGCCTCGTATGTGAAGCAATTTTGGGTGATTCAGACAAAATATACACTATTTCAACCCATGCTAAGGTATTCATTTAATTATATCCTATTTATCTTTAGCACGAAGGAAAGCTCATGGTACGTGACAATTTGCCTTTCCCAAACCATTTTATTTTATTTTAGAACAAACTAAAGGTAATCTGGTATTTTTATTTAATTTAGATTGATACTAAAACAAACCCAGCCAATCGTTTTTTCCCTTAAATTATTTAGAAATTCAGAGCACTGCACATGAACATTGCGAAGCCTTTATTCTTATATATTCCATTTTTTAATTAAGCTAGAACTCTGATTATTAAGGAGTCAAAGAAAAAATGCCAAAGGTAGAAGGTTCAAATTAGAATGTGATCCGGCTCGTACTTGACACTTCTGGTCTTGTAGCCTCTTGTAAAATGTATTCAATAGCTTGACCTTTGCCAAGGAACATTTTAGACTCCCCAACTCAGGAGGCTAGTCTCATCCTGCTACGCCCTTACGCTGCCTCATTTAAACATATGCATACACAAATAGCTTGCAATATCCATGGCTTAATTGGCAATTAATTAACATAGATGAACTTGCCTTGAACTATTAAAGCACATTTCGTGATAGAAGAAACGAAGTGGATAACTTCGACCCGCGTAACTCAAACAGAATCGAAACAACGCAGTCGTGACTTATCCTGTTGCACATGCTCTGGGATTTATCAAACCCGAATAATATCCTGACTTCAGGACTATTTTCTGACGCAATCCCCGTGACGAGAACTACATTATAATTTAGTTGAATCCATTATCAAAGTTATGATCACCATGACTGGAGTTCGTTTGATAGTTTTTCATCATTGAAAAACTGCATCAAAATGCGTTATTTCTCTATCGCATAAACCCTAGGGCGATAGATATTCACTTGTTACAAATACCTTGATATCGAACCTCTATGGCCTAGGCCAGCACCTTATTACTATTTTGGTCTTGAGTTTTGACCATTAATCTAATTTAGCTGCTTCCCTAAATTAATTTTGATTACACCTTCTGTAAGTGTAACGCTCAAATTGCGTCCTCGCTAAGAAGGTTATTCAAATCAGTACGATCCATCCTTTAGCAGAGGTAATTAGGCTCAAACGCAGCCCAGCCTCGTACCTAGTGTGAAACATTTTTTCTCATTACGTTTAACAGTTATCAGCAAGCTTTCTGGATGTTTTGCATTTATTTTCAACTCTTAATTATGTCGTGCTCTTCAATGTTGTTAAGCATTCTAACTGAATTGAATTATGAAACTAGACTCAGATAATGCTTATTAGTAAGCAACTTAGACAGTCAGATATAATGCATGCTTTCGATGCTATAATCCACTTAACTAATAACTTAATCAGAGGGGCATTTGACATTGAAAGCTTTTTCGTGTTTGCATCCATTCGAGCGGTCAACACTAAACCAATGGTATCACTAGCAATCAAATGGCCTATCGCAGACTCGATCGATGCCCAGATAACATCTTCCCGTACCGCCTGTTCTATAAAAGCTGGTTGGCAGACAAATCCTAAGCAATCACTTGCAAACATAAGATGTGGATTTATGTTAAATATTCGCCCACGCATTGGAATTTTATTTAAACAATAATACCTTCCTGGTTAACCAATAAACGTAGGGAAAAGGCTTACTAAGTAATATCGTCATGCTTACCTTATACCAACAAACACCTAACATTTGAAGGGAAAGCAACTTACTAAACTAAGCTAGAATAGAGTTGACAAAGCAGTAAAAATGAACTGAGTTCAAAATCGAGATGATACAACACCCGTGGAAAAGTAGGACAGGTGCTTGGGGAGTTTGAAGAGATGATGACCTTTAAGCAAAGGACCTTGCTATATACACAGTTTAAACCAAGAATTCGTTTTGTACAAGGGCCGGGAACGAGACTGCGGTATTTGGAACAACCTACTGGCGAACTCAGCCAGGGTAACTTGTGCCTACTCCCTTCACTACAAGTGGCTCATGCTCAGGCTGGTTAAGAGTTACTTGTTGCATTATTTTTTTTAGCTTTGCTGATCAATAGGCCCAGGATGATTACGTATTATCTTAACCAGCCTCCTTAAGTGACTTTGATTGTGTAAATTGATGTGATGGTCCCCTCTTGTATGGAAAAAAGCACAGTATCGTCTAAAATCCCGTGTCATATCGATCCAAGTTACGCCCATCGCTATGATGCCAACTCCAACCGATAAGCCGCTTGACCAATACTTGAGGTATGATGATGTCCGCATTCCAGTCGTGCACACCTGAATTGAGATGACTGGTCTGCCGACGAGCTAAAGATGCTTTATAGTTAAACTTTGGGCTTCATCTAAACTGAAATCAGCAGGATGAAGCTTATAGTAACGGGGCAGGACTCGTAACGTGCCGCACTCCATGCATCTCAGCACTCAATTATCCTGGGCATTACTTTCATCAGCCAAGCAAGGCTCTGACGTCATGCCTTTAGGCTACAAGATTCCTTTCTCCTTGTCGATTATATTGCGAGCATCCCCAAGCGGTCCAATTAAAATTCACTCGCTGCATGCCACCTCCTTGATGACTGTAACAAAGCATCCCAAATGTATGCCCCTCGTTTTTCAGCCAATCCCAAGAATACGATCAATGTCAAACAGTGCAATCAAGCCATCATCGAGAAATCGAGATCAGCAAAGGCCGACTCCATGAATTGGAAGCTAGAATATCGAGACTACTTAGTCCCGGAAAATGCCTAGCGAAACGATACTAGTCAATTTATCTGAAAACATGAGTATATGGGATTTTTTGTTCCAATCACAGAATTGCTCACAGGCCGGCTCACATGGAACATAGCCAAAGTCATGATAATTAAATTGATGTTTGGCTACTCGGTTATTGTGAATAGTGCAGAGTAATCAAGCTGAAACAATAAGACCCAGTAATCGCCTATCATCCGCGATTTAGACCTCAAATACCAGCGATTCGAGGAAAGCAACCGGTAGTAAACTTATATCTAAACTACTTAATGCCACATAATCAGTCATAATACCACCAAGCAACTAGCATATATACACGCTTTTCGTA